ATATATTTTATAACAGTTCTGGAATATCATTTTTTATGCACTCTCAAAATTTTACTGAGATAAAAATGGAGGGAAAAAGAAGGGAGGAATGTAGTGGAACTGGACTAGGTCGATCGTTGGCGACCAGCTGGTAGCTCAATTGGTAGAGTGTCTGTCTAAAGTTGGAAGGACCCGGGTTCGAACCGGGCAGCGGTCTGGCTGTGCATTTTTCCTCTCGTGTTACAAAAAATAATGCATCTTTTCTATTTATCCTTTGTTTTTTCCGTTATTGAACAACAACAGGATTATATTTCTCCTTCATGCAATGATGTTGACAGTTGTTTTTGTAATTTTCTTTGTGTTATATTTCAAATAAGATCTTTATATCAAATAAGAAATGTCCTGTTTGATTTTACTCAATTTAAAAGGGAAAAAAAATCGACTTCTTTTCAGAAGTCTTTTTGGTGAAGTTAGTTTTTATAAATGACAGGGATCTTTAATTTACAAATTAATATCTATCTGTCAAAATGTCTAACTAAGTCTGGTGTCATGCTAAGTCCGAATTATTCTGACCTTTTATCGACTTTTTTTTATATCGGTTTGTCGTCGATTAACGTCAGAACTCCGGCCCTCTATAATATGCGGAAAATAAGCGACCCGCACCCGCACCTGGGTCGCACTTCAATCAGATATTTTAGAAACAAATCGTCACTTTCACACACATGTCGCACATGGATCGAAAGATCTATTCTTTATGCACACGATGAACATAAATTACATACCTCAAACAACCAATACACTTACTCTGTTTTACTCTAGTTTTTTTTATAGCCCCGCCTTCTAATGCCACGTGACTAAAATCTCACCGGCTTACATCATAACGTTGGGAAATACCTTCGGTAACGCGAGATCTCGTCAAGTCATGTAACATTGCTCATGCCCTAATTTCGATTAACAAGAGGCCCAATGGGCCTGCATCGCTCACCTGTTATTAATCTAACACTTGTTATCTTAAGATTTCATAAGAACCTATTAAAAGATTTAAACATATGACGCCTGTGACCTTGATTGTCGATTGTCATTTTTAAGAGACTTGAAGACAAATACTGTTTTCAATGTTTTCATTTGACTCTTTGATCGTTTGACATGATTTAAGCGAGTTCCGAAGAGTCAAATGAAAACATTGAAAACAGTATTTGTCTTCAAGTCTCTTAAAAATGTTTCCAAATCATTGACAATACAAGATCTATTTATTAAGTTATAACAAGAAAAAGAAATTAGGCTTGAGCACAAAATCCATGCTTGAGCATGAGAACGGTTTCATGAATACGGGTCCCGGGGCGCTTATTTCCCGCATATTATAGAGGGCCAGAGTTCTGACGTTAATCGACGACAGACCGATATAAAAAAAAAGTCGATAAAACGTCAGAATAATTTGGACTAGAGTCATCCCAAGAGGAATCTCGTGCTTGATTTGACTGTTTGCACATGCAGGTGTTTGAAATTCTGACAGTAAATTGAGATATATATCATAAAAAAAAGGTAGACTAGTAATACCTTATTATTTAATATATTTAACTCAATTTACAGTCAGAATCGCAAACACCTGGGCCGTTTTCGTGTAAACGGTCAAACCGGTCGGACCACTGTTGTTCGTTTATTAAATCAGGTCGGACCTGTTTTAGTTTAAACATATTTTATTGCCAAGCAAATGGATTGGGCACAAGTTATCAAACTTATATTAAGCCCTTTCCTAGCAAATTACAAGCATATATTTACAATAGTACAACAAGATGGCAGAATTAATTTACATATATACACTATTTCATTTTTAAATGCTTTAATTTATAAATTGAAATTATAAGAGAGAGACAGAGAGAGAAAAGGTTGGAAGGGGGAAGAGACAGGGGGGATAATAGTCTGTAATTATAATACATACATCCTCATCATTATTAATGTATGACATATAGTATCTTCCTCTTAGAGAGAGTGGATATTATGGTTCAATTGAGAGAGAGGGAGAGAGAGGGGACAAGGGGGAGGGGG